CATCGTTCGGCACTTGTTTCATAGCCCTATAATTAGTAAGAATAACTGAATTGTTATAAATAAACATAATCTTTAAAGATCCTATTATCCTATAATGCTTGATTGAGTACGAGATTTCATGTGATTTGGAGATATCAATATCTAGATTTTCTTTCGTTTGTTTGCATTAATAATTAGCATAGTGGGTATTGCTCAGATATAATCCACATGATTATGTTATAATTGATTTTTACTTCTAACTATAATCCATCAAATTCTAGTCTAGATCCGCTCGACTAGTTCTAACCAGAGAGAAGAAAAATACGACTTGAAAAATCTATACTTTAATAATTACAAACAAAATCTAAACCAGTCAGTTATACAGTACGTAATGAACTTTATAAAACTTCGATATTCTTACCATTGGATCATCACCAGGTGCATGTAAAATTGAAATACACACTCTTCCATCAGGATAAACTAATAAAAATAAATAAAACCATCTTTAATCATATGTATATATACACACACACAATATTTCATACCATTCGGATGAAAAATTTCACTCATAAATTTCATTTTTGGTGGACTTAATGGATAATCACTTGGAAAATGAAGACGAGTAACAAATACTCCATATTCAAATGATGTACCACTCGGTCCTCTATGAATGAAATAAAAGAAAAATATTTTATCAAGTACTTTTTTCTATAATACCAACGTTATAAGTGCTTCCCATTCAAAAAAATTCTCATCACTAAGAGGTCCAGCTAAAATTCCATCTGGTGGATTATTTGTCAATTCTAAATAAATCTATGAATATAATATTTAATTTTAATCTAATTTATATTCTTACGTTTATATTCAGCAATTAAACGTCGTAACGCCGATCCAGCCATCTGAAAATATTCTAATAGATAACATTCACAAAACCTGAAAATCTGTATGTTTTTTTTAGAATCTCTTTTTTAACAAAACAGAAAAATTTAAAAATGAATCAAGTTTTTGTTTGTTGAGATTTAACGTATGTGTCTAAATAATGACTTAATAATCGAGCAGGATGATTTGCTAATGATAATGTTCGACTACCAGGTAATTGTGTTATTGAAACAAGTTCACCTTGATAATAATCAATGTTTGGTAATTGAACTAATGTTTCAAGACCAGCTCGATTATATAAACGTCCATCAACAAGTCCACCAACTAATAATAAATTATTTCGATATTTTTTAAGTAATTTAAACGCTAATGATAAATTATTATCTTTATGAAATAAATAAATTGTTTCGAAACCAAATGATAAAATTGGTGGAAGAAAATTCTCATATTGACTATCATTTGCTAAAGCTAAACTAAAAAAATCAATATTAACAAATAAATATATATATATATAATCTTTTTTGAATAATTACTGTGGAACTATTCTTGGAAATTTTATAAATGAAAATCCATTTTTCATAAATTGCATTTTTGCAATTGTATATCGAACTAAATTTTAATAGAGAGAAAATAATGAATAATTTTACGAAAGTAGATGATTTACTCGGTGGAACAATGCAAATTTCTTGACAAAGTAAAACAATACGACTTGATTCAAGCATTTCACGAAAACGTCGAGCTCGAAATTGATCATACTCAGAAGCCTAGATAGAAATATAACGATTAATTGATTAACATCTGTATTAATATGATATAAAATGTTTATTATTCTTAGAAGATCTATTTTTTCGTCGAAGCAGTTTCAATAAAAAGTAATTAATCATATAAAACATAGGATATTAAATTCTTAAGAGTTTCGTTTTTTCTCATTAAAAAGAAAGAAAATATTCATACAAGTTCAATATCTTCTTGATCAAGAAGAATTTTATTCTTGATTTGTTCTCGATAACAATCTTCTACTGGATCAGGTATTGGTTTTTCCAATACAGGTAATGCAATATCTTCCATAAATCGAAGTAAATCTGGTCGTGATCGTGGTCTTCTTGTATTCATTTTTAAATGACGAACACATGATATTGTCGATGGACGTGATACTAAAGAATAAATTATTATATCAGAAAATAATTTTCTTAATTGGCATACCAAATCTAAGTATTGAATACATAACGAGAAAATA